TGTTCGTACACCTTTTAAAACGCAATAACTTTTTTGAAACTGGACTAACCCTTGATCGTGCGAGGTCGGCCATCAGGTATGTACGTGTAAATGAGATAGTCGGACCTGTCGTGAGTCAAAGACCATCGCTGGGATGACGGTGTTAACCCGGACGAGTCTGGTTGCCAGATCTGTTTAAAAAAGAGCCATCAGAAGCAGGCTTGCACAGAGTCCTGGTAAAAATTATGGCTTTTAAAGAAAGTCAGAGTTTCCCGGGATCAGGTAGCGTCCGAGCCGCTACAGTAGGTTCGCTAGTGTCCTTTTTATTCTCTAACGAACGAATTATTGCACAGTTTAGCCAATTTAAAATTATGACTGGGTATTCGAAATCACCTCAACTAAATTAATGCAACTGCTTGCTTCCGGCGATTAACACGATGAAATTACTTTCTTGTTATTTTCTGTCTGTGCAATAGTGTAAAATCTGCGGAATTATCATATCTTGCCATTATTAACCATAATTCGAAATCTGATTCAGTGCAGTGTGACGCCACTGCTACAGATTTTCAGAGCATCGGTATGTCGGCAGATGATCCCGTACTTAATAACGGTTCCAGTCAACCTGGATGGTCCAACTGTCGGTGAGACTACAAGGACTCTAATTTAAAAGCAATTTCTACGCAGGATCTATTGTCCTGGGCGTTCCAAGTAGCGCGTGAAAGGAAATATCTCAGCAAGAGAGAAGAGTGAGTTTCTACGACTTCTTATCGTAGATAATTCTATCAGAACAGAATTATACGGAAAGTTTCTGTTTCCAACTGAATCATTTCTTATAATCAAAAGAAAATGAAAATATTAATCATTTTTGGTACTATTCACGTTTTTACGAGCCTTACGATTTTATATATGTACTTAACTCAAATTAACGTAAAATCAGCTGAAAATCAAATACTAGTAATTCTCCAAATTTGAAAAAATATATTTCTATAGTATCTTCTATACAAAATCGAATTGTGTAAAAATTAATTTTCCAACTTCTATCTTTGAGTAAGAAACAAAACTTTTTGTGAAAAATTATTGGATTGCAAAATCCATACACAATCGCGTACACAAATCATAGAACAAATTTCAACTTGAAAATTTCATTATTGCTATCCGTTGCAGCATGTTGTTTCTTCCGATGTACACTTGGATCACTGAAAGGTTTCAAAGATCTTTCACAAACAGAAATCAGTTTTATACATTCCGCTTATGTTTACATAGTATAGAGTATAGGTCAAAGGCAGTAAATCCGACAAAGTATTTCCATACCTAACACGCATCACGCGTATTGACGCGTAGGTGTTTGTTTTATCCTGCACATTCAAATATCATCGTTGATTTTGTTTATATGAAAAAATGTGTCGTAACAAATTTATTTGGTTCAAAGATAGAAATATTATGATTGATGGATTCGTCGTTCATTTTTTTCGAGTTTTGATGGTCATCGTCACTTCTTGCGTATTAACACCTATTGTTTACGATACGGCATTCTAGTTTATGTTAAAACGAATTAATGACCTACAACACTATGATCACGTACTATGATTTATGTACGTGATATTGAAGAAAATTGTGCAAGAACTGTGTTTACTGAACTTGTTTTCACAAAAGAACATTTTTTTCTTACACAGAAATAAAAATTGGAAAATTAATTTGTACATAATTCGATTTTGTATAAAAAATACTATAGAAATATATCGTCTCAAAATTTTATTTGGAAAATTACTAGTATTTAATTGTCAACTGAATGCTCTCCCTTTAATGCAAACCTGTTTACGTCACAGAAAGATAGTATTTAGAACAAATAAATCATAACAAATAAATAAAAAGCAGTGCTTATGTCAGAGTGACGTCTGATTTTTCGTTTTGCATTTTGCACATTACACTTTCTGTAACATATACAAGATCAGTCATATGAATAGATAAGGGTGCCGATTTTCATAAAAATCGGACAAAGTTATGAATTTAAACTAATTTTCAAGGAAAGGTACCACTATGCGGCAAGTCTCAGTGGATTGCACTGACAAAAAAGTTGCGGTCAGCTTCGATCGGAATACGAAATAACGACGAATGATGATTACTAATGATGGTTACTATAATTCGTTCGTTCAGCTGAGACAGCACATTAAGGCTGTAGTCCTTGCCAATGAGTGATGTGTTTCCAGAAGCCGAATGAGTAGACCAGTGCGATGTCGTTCCGTGTTGCCTTGTCAATTATATAAAGAGTCGAAGCTCAGTGATAGATAGAAGAAAGGAAGCACCAAGGAGAGCATCACGAAAAAATGCTGTGCCGCCACCGTCAGTTCCTCTTTGCTGTCGTTCTTCTCTTATACCTGTGCAGAGGTAATTGCAACTTTATCTGACATCCATCCACCCGTGGCCCACGAAGCATTCGGCGTGCAACGTCGCGAGTATGTAGTCAACGTGATTGTGAGCAACAAAACTCGAAAAACCAGTTCTTTATTATATTTGTTACATGACTAAGATAATCTCCATTGAGATTCTGTCAGAGTAAATCTGGTTCCTGGATCTATGTATCTGCTATTCTGCTTCATTCACCCGTGCTCGGCTTCTTGATTGTCCGAAAAGCAACCGACTATTTTGGAGCATTGGCTGATTACTCCGTTACTAATGTTATTGCGTGATTTATGCGCACGCTTGTCCTATATTTAACGTTGAAAGTATTGCAGAAATGACGTGAANACTAATGTTATTGCGTGATTTATGCGCACGCTTGTCCTATATTTAACGTTGAAAGTATTGCAGAAATGACGTGAAGATTGAGATATTGTATGGTCGAATCAGAATAGTCGAACGTTACAAATTTCGGGTAATATGTGTGCGATGTTGCATATTTGTGTTCTTTTAAGCAACAGTGTTGAAAATTGAATATTATTTCTATTGCATTTCCGTATTCCCAACCTCATTGTAACCTGCAACACAGAGTCAGATTTGTGATGCAGATTTCATAGATTACCAAATCAGAATGTTTTTCAATTTTCTATACTCAAAGAAGACTCCATTCTCCCGTTAGCAAAGTCAACGTAAGTCAATGTAGTAAAACGATACAAGAAGCAAAAATTCTCTTCTTATATTAGTATAGGAACGATTAAGATCGAGATAGTACAACTGGTTCGGGATAAACGGTGAAACCTTTGACACATTTCTAGACTTTCGCTGTATCTTTATTCGCGAAATAAGAACGCTATTGGATTATCAATACATAACCATCATAATGAACTCTTTGTCCGAGAGCAAAAACAGATAAATGTTTCAGAATCGCCTTTTAAATAAATATATGAAATTATACAATGTGTTGATTCATGATCTCAAGGCTGTGGAGTCCAAGCATAACAAGATCAGAGATGGAGGTAACCACAATTTTTATCTACGGGGTTCCAAAGTCAGACGCTGCTAAAGATTCGTTCAGTAATGAGCTTCTTCACGTGCCGTAATATAAAGACAGTTTCTTTACTGAAAGTACCAGTACCAGTACCAGATTACGTTTCATTTTGCACCCATTTTCAATAAATGTAATTCATTTCCAGGGATTTATGAGGCAACTTAAGAACGAGGACGTCCAGTAAATTGTATCACCATTCGTATCGTTGCGTGGTTAGCATGTTACATTATTTAGATAGATCAGTGTAGATTATAAACCAAGCAAAAAAATATATATATGATCTAAATACTGATTAACCACGGTATAATGACATTGTTAAAATAATATCATTGATAAAATAACTATAATATTCACTTCGATCTATAAGTTTGAATTGAATTAAGTAATCGTATATATGTATAAACCAATTATCGTCTCAGTCGAATCTTATTTATTTATTTCATTTATTAGACGAATTGTGAGAATTATTACGTTTCGTTATTGACCGAATAATCTTCTCCCAGACTCAACAGCCCTAAAACCAAATATATCATCGACAACTGACCAGATTATTATAAAAGAAGGCGAGCCTCTGCGTCTACATTGCTCTGGCAACTCGGACATTTTCTTCACGTATCCAACTAACCGAACATATTTTGTAAGTAATAAAATAATAAGATAATATTGTTTTACAGAGTAAAAATATAAAGTTAAAGTTTACAAAGTAAAGACAGTGATTCTAACATATGCTTTAAAAATAGTCTTATACAGTTGTTTATTATACATCACCCATCGAAATAAATAAAACCCAAGATGAATATGGCACCTACTGGTACGACTTTCGTCGACCGAGTACATTCTATGGGGACACTGGTTGGTATGGTTGCTCATATCATCCCATTTTAACTACCAGACATAATTATTACGGCCCTGAAATCAGCTTGGTTTATGTCTACGTTAAGTGTAAGTGTACTTCAGATTTCTATTAAATTGTAAAGGTTTCTACAAAAATTTACCGAAATATCAGTGTCGAACTATGGAGACTCCTCAATGTTAGTGAACTAAATGTTTAGTGAACTACATTTGCAGTTATCTTTGTAACATCAGGACACTGCAATTTAGGAGTTCAACTGTTATGTTTCAGCTGAACCAGTTCGATTTGTAGAACAAGCAAATTTTGATTTGATAACGGCATATCTAGACGAAACTATTGTCATTCCGTGTAGACCAACATCGCCACGAGCGGAAGTCCGAATTAGAAAGTTCAATCGAGAAGAGGTATTTGATTGCTTAACAAATTTTCTAGCATGAACTTTACGAAACAATGTAACATTGAAGCTACAAAACGTTTTCACCAAATTAAGTAAAAAAATAGTAGACAGTCGACAGATATTACGAAATTGCGTAAGATTTCTTGTAAACTTGAGTAAGGTAGTGGAGTCGATTAGTGTGCAGTAATCAATTGCTGTGACTTTGGTTTGTTTTCGGGCATAATTAACTCTATATTTATTAAATAAGACATATTAAATATTTTTATTAATTAATTTTGGATTGCTCATTGGTCAGTATTTTTCGTTAATGAGCTCAGAAATCACTTCTTTCCGGGTGTTATTATTATGGGACACCCTGTTTAACCAGAAAAAGATTGGCATTGATTTGTTCTAGCATGGACAAAGATAAATGGTTGTTTGTTTTGGTACAATTGCGCAGGCTTCAAGATTGATAGCACGTACAGTTAATGTGCGAGAAGTCTTTATATTATTATAAAATATCTTGTGCAGAATGGTAACGATGAGGTAGTTCCACGATACACTTTCGATCCAAAAATTGGATTTACGGTGAACACGTTCGACTTTCAAACCTTTGGGGATTACAAATGCATTATGGCTCCTGATCAAGAGGCCTATTATATAGTACATTTCCAGGGTGAGTATACTTATTGAACGATGATCGTCTCCACAGTCTATCTTTACGAAACCTTCTTCACAATACTTTCACGGAGAAGACGCTCTTTTACTCTTATTTAACAATTCTTTTGTAATTTTGATTTTAGTAAAATAGTTCCATTAATCTAAGAAACAAATTGAAACAGAAAGAATTGACTTATTAATGGAAGTCATTGAATAATAGAAATACATTTTTCTCACTATAGAATTAGCCGGCAATATACTGCCCGAACCAACTATTGTCAATAAAACATTGCTGCACGTAATAAAAGATGAAACTCTATACCTGAAGTGTATCATAACTACTTCGAGGGATCAAGACTACTATGATGCTTTTTGGATTCCAAAGCAACTAGTATTTACCTTCATATACAAGTTTTATTCGCACCACCCGTTTAAGTTGAATTCGATACAACAACCTGATATTTCAGAGCGACAGAGTCACTACCTGGAACGATAGTCGGATT